ATTTTCTCCTCTGATCCATCTAAGATCAAAATGGATGCTATAAATAATTGTATTGATGGTCTTAAACACATGAATTAAGTACATCGTATTTTCATCAGTTTTTATAATTGACTCATTTTGAAGATGAAAAACAGTTTCATTAAGTGAAAGAAAGTGATAGTGCCTGGAGAAGAGAGATTGAAGATCTGCAAGTCCTAGCCAACAAAGCAATAATCTCAGTGAGCCCTCTCAGTAGGGACTATTGAACTACCTTCCCAGTTTTCCCCTCCACCCATAACACCAATGTTTTTGTTTTGTCTGTCCATGTCTATATGTTTGTGTAAGGGCAGTTTTATAAGAGTTATGTCGACAATTCATAGGTGTTTACTGTAGCTAGAATCTATTTATTTGCATGAAATAGTAATTTCTGTTACATAGAGGAGCCTGACCCATTCTTTCTGTCAAAGTGGGTCTAAATAGATAGATAAATTAGAACATTTTGCATACTTTGATAAAATCTTTAACTTCTGTGATGACTCCAGGAAAACCCGGGCTTGATTTCCAGCATGCCACCCCAGTGAGATGAAATATAGAACTGAATGTAGTAAAACTTTTGTAACCAGGGGAAAAGTGCACTGGTGGTAAACTCTGTTAGTTTACAAAGCAAAATAAAGTTACCACCATCAGATCATAATATTTAAGTTTCAAAAGCATGCAAGCACAGTGTTCATGTATAAAACACCACCCAAACCAAAGCATGCAATTTTCTGCTAACCTACATTTAGCTAAAAGTCAATCTGGCCAGTAATCATCCTTCACAGAAATGGAATAAAATGGAAAATCTATGATTAACTCAGCTGTGTTGTCACAACAACTTTGTTAGCCCTGTATCCTTTCATTAACTATGGTTTGAATGAAAATTAGATTAGTCTTGGAAAAAGCAGAATGAGAACATTTCACAAACTGTTAGGGTGCCTGCTTTGAGAGAAGGTCATTGATACGAAATGTATCTTATAACAATACTTTGGTTTTAATTGTTTTTTTGCCCTTTTTTTAATGAAGACAGATTTAAGACGGAGGTATTGAGCTATCAATTTGAAGTAAACAGCTTGCGAGGCCTTGGAAATATTTTTAAAAGTTGGAACAATAGAAGCAGCCTGAAAGGTGGCATCAAGATCCACCAGAGTCAGGGTTTTTTAGTTTTAGTTTCAGATTTTCAGTAGCAGTTGTTGCTGGGGTCTTTAAGCTGGGTTTGAAAACCCTGCTACTCTCTTTCTTTTTCTCCCTTTCTTCTGCTAAGATTTTCTTTTCCTTTTCTTTTTCCCTCTGCATTTAAGCGTAATTCAAACTGTTTCATTTCCTTTTTCTTTTTCTTTTTCTTTTAGCTCAAGCTGCTTCATTTGCAATTTTAGCCATTTGCAAAGATTCTGATGGCATTCCTGGCAATTGTAAATGTTGCACAATTGCCACAATTATCTCCCATTTCCTCTGCAACCCCAACACCAGCTTGTTTGCCAAGTCCAAAGCCGTTACTTTCCTCACTTTCTGTAAAACTCCTGAAGTGACTTCTTCCACCCCCGGAAACTCTTAGTGACTGAAAGAGCCATTACTACAAAAGGCACACCCTATTCAAACAAACCAAATTCAACACCCAAAATAAAAAAACACCAAAACTGCATTTAAAATGCATCGTTACATTATCTACCATGTGCCAATTCTGTAGTACTTGAAATGATTTCATTGTTGTCAAATAAGTAGCTGGATTATGATGTTATTACGGTGTAATTGTAAGAAATTGCATTTGAGTCCAACAATCTTAAACCCGACCTAGAATTAGAGGTTTGGATCCAACAAGAGCCTCCAGTTTGTTATGGACCAGATCAAACCACTTCAAAATATATGAAGAAGATAGCCTGGATCCTCACTTATTCTTATTTTAAAGACAAGTGCCAGGCATTGAGTTGTCAGATGCAATTTGATTGGACAAACTACCACTCTTGAAGCAAAACACACTTTATTCATATACTATAGTTAAAATACAACAAAAGAAAGAATTGGAATAACTTCACTCTATTTGAAGAGTTGGAACAAAATATGTAACTATTATTTAAGACTATTTAAGTATTAAACAGTAGCTGTTCCAAATTAGTAAAATATTATGAACACATCCTTCGCAAAGGCAAATGCAGTGAAACATATTGTCTCACGTGTAATTCTCCAATCTAAGAGGAAAATTGTCAAGAGAAAATTCTGAGAGAGAGAGTAGCAGGGACTGCTACTGTATGTACTGCAGCTTCCAAACCCAGCTTCAAAAGCCTAGCAACTGCTACTGAAAAACTCCTGGTTCTGGGGGAGTTTGACTTGACCCATTTAGGCTGCTTCTATTGTTCCAATTTTTAAAAAATGTCAAGGCCTCACAAGTTGTTTTCTTTGTTGGATTCAAATAGACAACTCTGTCTTAAAACCTGTCTTCAAAAAGAAACAGGATGAAACACATTTCTTACAATTACACCATAATAACATCATAATCCAGCTACTTATTTGACAACGATGAAATCATTTCAAGTACTACAGAATTGGCGCATGGTAGATAATGTAACGTTGCATTTTAAATGAATCACATTATAAAGTTTTGCTATGGTTTTCTATTTTATCAAACTTTAAGAGATAATACAACTTCTTAAAGACAAAGCACCAGGTTTGATGGTATAGTGTAGCACTCATATCTATTGACAATTTCTGCAGGATATTTAGAATCAGACATCTTGTAACCAATTGTCCTATCTGAAAGAGGACTGTTCTAGTTTTTCAGATGGGGCTACAGAGTTTTTACTGGATTCTTTCTCCAAAAACAGCTTTGCAGCATATTCTCAAAATGAAGGTGGAACGACTTGATAAAGAAATCCTTGTAATTTACTGTGCTTTTCCCCAAGAAACAGGTTTTCCTTTAATTGGTAAAACAGGACCTCACCCACAGTGAGAGTATGAATGAACCTGGAAGTAGAGAAGATAAGCTTCTGGCTGATATATCTCTAAATGCAGACCTCAAACAAAACTCAGGGCTAACATTCACTGTAGTTCTTAAGGTCCTCAATTAAAATGACTGACATATAAATCCATTTAAAGAAATGGTGCTTTCTAGCATCCACAGCAGTTAAAAACTCATGTAAAAGTGCAGACCTTATAGTTTTAGTATGAACACAAGCTACAATTTTATTGAAAACTTTAAACAGCCTTTCACTGTCATTGTGGATCCTAGAGTAGTGTTGCTTTTATGTACAAAGTCAGAAAGCGAGAGAAAACTGGGAATGCAGAGTCAATGCAGGCAGGAGAACCAAGGTCACAATCTCACCAGGACAGTCACCAAAATTAAAAGAATTACTTTGACAGAATAGAATCAAGAAAATGAAATGCAAACAAATGAGGCATGGCTGAATGTATCTGACAGACAGTGCAAGAGAGCAGAACATTCCTTTTTTCATTCCCAGACTTGGGCAAACCCAATATTTATTGCTCATCTGTCTAGCTATCCAATTAGTGGTTTGACAGGACTGACTTTCTCGACCTCAGAGGGGAGTTAACTGCCTTAAATATGGGTGTAAGGTGAATAGGTTGGGTTAGGTCAGCAGGTTAAAGAGAACTAGTTAAGCTTTTAATAGTAACTTACATTTTATGCTCATTTTTAATGGTACCATTTGGTATTTTCAGCTGATTTTAAACTGGGTTCACATTCCCAAAATGCCATGATGTGATTTGAACTCACTTTCCTTGGATTAATCCAGCCCTCTGGATTATTAATCCAGTAACATAACTAATACATCAGTGTAGCTGATATGAAAAACAATATTTTATAATTTACTTTTAGATTTTATATTCAATATTTTGAATTTGTTCAATATTGAAATAAACATAATAGACCTTTAAGAATGTAAAAACTTGTACACATATGCAGTAGTTTGCTTGACCTGAGGAATTCCAAAGTGCATCACAACCAATTAAGAGTTTTGGAGTGCATCACTTTGGTAATGTAGGGAAATGCAATAGTTTGACACTGTGCCATAAACAGGAACAGAATAAATTGTTCAGGATGTTTGAGTGATGATAGTTAAAAAAACAAATGTTTTGCCAGAGTACTGGAAGAACACCACTGCATATACTATAATAGGGCTATTGTAGCCGAGTTCTGGGTTTAACATTTCATCTTATGCATGGTACTTCTGATGGTGCAGGATTGTAAAAAGTCAAACAAAATTATGTATTTAGATCTCTGGGGTGCAACTTAAACTCATGACCATCTCACTTGAAATTGTTTAAAATACAGAAAAGCTTTAAAAGTCACCTGCTGTTCCCAGCTACAGCTCTTAAGGACTGTGCGATGGTCTGATAAATAGGAGGCAGCTTTATTATCATTATAAATAAGCAGTAGTGGAATATAGGACAAAAGGTGAACTGATTGTGCAAAGGCAGATTTTTGGCATTCCAATTATTAAGGTATGAAAAACTAACAGCAAATCAAATAATGCTTGGCGAGTTATGATTTTGAATGTAAATTGTTCAGTAGGCAAGTATATGCAGATTAAAATTACCCAGAATTTGAACGGTTAAATATTTTGAATACAAATAGCTAATTAGAGATTTCAAAAGTTACTTATGTTCCTGTGACCCTGAACACGATGTCCATTTTACATTTGATTACTTCACTAAAGCCTGAAAAGACGATGTCCATAAAATACAACATATCATCTTTTCTTTAAATCTACCCCCTATCTGTGTATGGTTAAACTAGGATGTATTAATTTCAACGCTGCCATTTTATCTTTGTTATTGCAATATGGAGAGTTATTGAATACCGTACATTCCTGATGCCTGAATGCCTGCAGGGAAGGTTATAGCTAACGGCTATAAAAGTCCAGTGATACGTGAGTTTATGAGGTTGTTTGTGTTCATTAAGTTCATTGGAGCTAACTGGAACAAACCTGAGTAGGACTGAGCTGTGTTTAATCTAAACTAGTAGCCCAACAGATTTAAGGGAGGTAAAGACTACGGTGCTGTCTACTGATGAAATTGCAGCAAGGCGGATCATGCTATGTGAGCTTAAATTCAAAGTGAAGCTGGTTTACCTGTGCATGTAAGGAAAAGGCACATGCTCCCCTGAAAGTGCACCAGCTGGTCAGTTGGTGATGGCAGAGGACAAGACATTTCGCTACGGTCTCATTGTTCTGGGATTCTTTCTGATCATAGTTGGAATGTTCATTATGAATGTGGATAAGCCCGGAGTCTATGCAACCTTCTTTTCCGTCGGGATTCTGATGATCGTTGTGGGGATTGTCTGGACCATTTGTCAGTGCTACCCTAAGGTATGGGAATTAAATAATCCTTTACAAACAGGGGCATGTTTTTAGGGGAATGAACAGGAGGGGGCAGGACAACGTTCATCACAAGAGATGACAAATTTTGGAAAGAAAACTATTGAAAACAGATATAGAAGGAATGGGCCAAAAAGTAGAAACAGTAAGGAAATAGTGAAAAGAAGGTTGGAATATGTTTATTTGACAGAGAAGAAATTGATCCTGTTACATAGCAATCAATTTTATTGACACTATTGCTTCCAATGCTGGGGGGATCCATAAAAAATGCTTCTCATTATTTACTCAGAAAAAACGAGACCAGCATTTATAGGTCCTTGTAAAGGTTAAGCTCTTAAAGCTACTCTTAGATCATACATGAAGTTGCTTACAGTAATAACAGGAACAGTTATATAATTCTATTGTTAAAATGGTGCCTCATTCAATGTCTCTTGGACCATTAAAGGCTTTTTAAGTGGCTCACCTGATACAAAGTAAGAGTTTGATCATAAACAAAAATGGAAATTGCTAAAAAAAAGCTCAGCAGGTCTGGCAGCATCTCTGGAGAGAAATCAGAGTTAACGTTTTGGATACAGTGACCCTCTCCTCAGAACCCTTCCTTTGGTTTTTATTTAAGATTTTGATCATGTTTCCTGTAGGTGACCCCAATGTTTTTATGAACATCAGTGTACAGCTACTGGTGCTTGCCCCGCTGCCTAAATAACTTGCTTTGCACAACTTTTAAAATTTAAGCAGAAGGTCCAATGAGGACTGGACCTAACAGTCATAGACATTTGTAACTACATTCCATGTGGAGGAGCTGCCTGTTTAGTTGGCACGGTAGTGGCAGTCCCCATCATGGCTGCCTCCTGCCTTTGCACTGCATTTGCGTGAAAGCTGATGATATTTGTCACACGTATGGGAAGCACCAAGATTTTACATAGTGTCTCCTATGTCTGATTCAAGATTTGAGGAAATATTTTAACTTCCTGCATTTTGGTAGACAGTTACCATTTTTAATATGGAAGAGTCATTGTAACAAAAGTCAAACTAAGCAACAGTGACACAAACTTATAAGGCCAATGAAAGAAAGTTACAAAAGCCTCATTCCTTGTATTTTTTGAAATTAACTACAGAGTCTCATTGCACATTCAAATAGTCACTCATTTCTTCCATGTGATAACAGAGGTTCAATGTAAAAAGTAATTAACTTAGTGAAATATTTTAGAATATGTCAATGGGATGTGATGCTATATAAACCATTGATAAATATTAGGTTTTCAAGTCTGAAGAAAAATTGCTGCATTCTGCGATACATTGTCATTGGGAGAGACTATCGCTTGCAGGACAGTGTCTTGTTGATTTAATTGAATGAGGAAGTATGAGCTAATGAATGTATTAGCAGAAAATTCTCAGTACAGAGATATAGTGATATGTCAATTAGTCGGTTCAGTGAATATGCAGGATACTCCACAATAGATTTACAGGGAAGTATGAACAGCAGTAAGAGTAAATATTATGGTTTATTATCATACTACTACAAAAGCAGCTGTAATTTTGGACGACGTGGTAAATAATTATCACTGTGGCAGATATAGCACATTAATGCAACTATGTGACATTAGAACCCAGACATATCTAAGCACGCACGATACAAGATGAATCTCATATTTCAATAGTCAAGGTAAATACCAGTTTAAGGAATAAAAACAGAAATTGCTAGGATAAGCTCAGCAGGTTTTAGCAGCATCTGTAGAGAGAAATCAGAGTTAACATTTCAGGTCCACTGGCAGCAGGGAGAATGTTGTTTCTTCATAGAAGATAGGGTGGGGGGAGAGACAAAGGAGTAAATGATAGGTGGAGATAGAGCTCAAAGAGAGAGAAGAACAGTTGGACAGACAGAGGAGTGGATGAAGATCAGCCTAGGAGAATGAATAGCTACTAATGGCGACTATTAGTGGCTAACAATGGGTTGCGTGTAATAGCAGACCATGTGATAAAAGGTCTGGTGTGTGGGGACTGGGTTAAGGAATTGCGTTGGTGTCTCAAGCCCTAAAATTGTTGAGCACGATATTGAGTAAAAGGCGACAGAGTTCCCTAGCAGAAAATGAGGTGTTGTTCTTCCAGCTTGCACTGAGCTTCACTAGAGCAGCAGTCTGTACCATCTACAAAATCCAATGTGGAAATTCACTAAGGCTCCTTAAACAGCACCTTCTAAACCTACAACCACTTCCATCTACAAAGACAAAGGCAGCAGATACATAGGAATACCACGACCAGCAAGCTCGAGTTATGTTTGTTGTCACATGTCCCTACACGAGTACAGTGAAGAGTTTGCAAAGTCACTGCTTACAGGACCATCTTAGGTACAAAGGTACCTAGGTGCAGATTCTTAGGAATAAATTAGAAAAATAAAGAAATAAAAAGTCCAGCAGAGAAGTCCATGCCTGGCCTCACCTCTAGACCACGCTGGGTTTACCTCGAGGATCGCGGGGCCAGGAGTCCACATTGCCTTCACCTCAAGCCTGGGAGTCCACAGTGAGGCCGGGAGTCCGTCCTGGTTTCACTGAAGACCAGGAATCCATGCTGGCTTCGGCTCGAGGACAGGAATCTGCTCAGGGTTCACCTCGGGACTCTTGATGCTGGGAGTCTGTGCTGGCTTCTCTCCAGACATTGCAGATGCTGTCAAGGATGGGAGGTAAGAAGAAAGAAGGAAAAATAATGCCACTGTTCCATCAGTGTCACTGGGTTAAAATGTTAGAATTTCTAAAAGTATTGTCAGTCTATCTTCACCAAGAGAACTGCGGCGGTTCAAATAGTCTGTTCACCACCACCAATGACAACTGGAGATGGAAAATAAATGCAGCACAGCCAGCTATGTCCACATCAGTGAGTGATTTTTTTTAAAAAATGCACACATTTGCTCACAAATATGACAAACAAGGCAGACACCAAACAAACTTTCCACATTAGACAGAGGTTCACCTGCACATCCGTCAACGTGGTGTACTGCATCCGTTGTTCCTGATATGGCCTCCTCTACATCGGTGAGACCAAGCGGAGGCTCAGAGACCACTTTGTAGAGCACCTGCACTCTGTTCGCGACAAACGACAACACCTTCTGGTCAGGAGCCATTTCACTCCCCCTCCCACTCCCTGGGCAACATGTCCATCCAGGGCCTCTTCCAGTGTCACAATGACACCACTCGCAAACCTCATATTCTGCCTTGGGAGCCTACAGCCCAATGGCCTAAATGTGGATTTTACCAGTTTCAAAATCTCCCCACCCCCGGCCTCATCCTATGACCAACCCACCCTCTCAGCCCCACCTCCTTGACCTGACACAACCTGTCCATCTTCTCTCCCACCTATCCGTCCCACCAATCCCACTGACCAATCCCCACCACTCCCCTACCTGCACTCACCTATCACCATCCCACCTACCTGTCCCAGCACCAACCCTCCTCTGTCTATTTATTTCTGAGCCCCCTTCCCCCTCCCCCATTTTTGAAGAAGGGTCCCGACCGGAAACGTCAACTTTCCTGTTCCTCTGATGCTGCCTGGCCCACTGTGTTCCTCCAGCTCCATTATCTCTGACTCCAGCATCTGCAGTTCTTACAATCTCTGAGACAAGACAGATAACTCTGCAGAAGCATCATGGATGAAAAACACAGGCAAAAAGGAACAAATTCTGTGGATCAAGAATCCAAACCACAACTGTGAAATGAGGTGACTTTCTCACCGTTCTCTTAGCCAGTGATATCACATTGGTGTCTGTAGAGTGATAGAATATCCTCAATCAAGTCAGTCAGACCTAGGTCTTTGCTTCTGTTCGAAGTTCTACTTTTCAGAGTATTTCAGTGTTGTTTTATTGGTCTATTCACAGAGAGTGAGAAAGAGACAGTCCTGTCGTTTCTTGCAGGCTTTCCAGATGTCAGAATGTAACTGCCTTCTCTCAGGTCTGTGACAAACTCCAACTTGAATTGAAAAGCTTTTTGAAGGCAGCTTTTCAACTCAAAGGCAGCTGGTGCCAGCTTATCTCAATAATTCTCTTTCAAATCCAACTTCCCCAGAAATTACATGACCTTGTGTAACCAAAAAGTGAACACCACACTGTTCCATTTTTGAACTTAGTGTAGTGATTAAACACATCTGATATGGTCTCTGCAATGCAGAAGAATCCAAACTCCCAATATACAACTCAGTATCTTGTACTGTGGTTCACCTCACAGCAATTACATACACAACTCTAAATCAATTTACACCCATTCCTTAACCAATAGCCTTAACTTTGTTCATTTGATCAACAAGATAATGCCAAAGCCTACCATAGACAGGAAGCTCGATGCTAAGTACCTTCACCCACTTTAAGGAGAATACTCTGTAGATTGTGAGAGGCACCCAACTCTTCGCCTGGAAGCTTACAAGATTGGCAATACCTTACTGGTGTAAGGGCACTGCTTAAACATCTCTGCCATCCTTGAGAAGCACCACAGAGCCACAACTTTCCATCCATTTCTCTGTCTTCTTAATCCCGAGAGGGTGATGTTCACAAATTGCTAGCTTCCGTCCTTCCTTCTCATGGTCAACATGATGAGGTGTGGCACAGGGGGAGGTGATGGCCTAGTGGTATTATCGCTGGACTGTTAATCCAGAGACCCAAATAATGTTCTGGGAACCTGGGTTCAAATCCCACCACGGCAGATGGTGGAATTTGAATTCAATAAAATATCTGGAATTAGGAGTCCAATGATGTCTATGAATCCATTGTTGATTGTTGGAAAAACCCATCTGGTTCACTAATGTCCTTTAGGGAAGGAAACTGCCATCCTTACCTGTCTGGCCTACATGTGATTCCAGACCCACAGCAACATAGTTGACTCTTAACTGTTCTCTGGGCAATTAGGGATGGGCATTAAATGCTGCCCAGCCAGCAACATCCTCATCCCGTGAATGAATAAAGGAATAAGAAAGGCAGGAGAAAGAAGACTTTTGTCAAGTAGTTAATGAGGAGATACCACCCAGGAATAGGAACTGGATGATATTGATTTTCCAGATCAAAAGTATGTGTCAGTGATTCAACTTTATCCGCCATAGCACAAAGCTAATAAGTTACAAGATAGTTCAACTGGTTCAGGACTGGTCAGTTCACTTTTGAAAATTGTCATATAAATTCTCAGAATGAGTTCAAAGTTGAATGTCACTGATGTGCAAGATTTTGCATCTGCTGTATGCTGAAGGGTGACTGTTTTCTGATTCAGTGACAGTATTACTTCACAGCGTATTTTAAAATGTAATTTTCTAATAGACAGACTTCTTTTATAGAGGACCCACGTTCCACCTATCAAGTCAGAAACAGAGCACTTGTTTCCAGACAAACAGCAGCTTCCAAGCTCTATGTCAGAGCGTGAAGTTCCTCTCAAATCAAGGTAATCAATCCTAAATCTTGAGTTATAAATGTTGAAATTCTTCAGTTGGTAAGACGTGCTCTTCACTACACATTACTGATCTTATTAAAATTATTTGCGAATTTGTGTAAATGAGCAAGATATAGATTAGACAAGTGTATTCTCCATAGATTTTTAGGTTAGGGTAATTCAAATAGCACCACAAATATAAATGATAGTTTAACACAGCACCACACCGATAGAATCACATTGACTGGGCATTTCATAAGTGGGACTAGATAATAGAACTGGATAAGTCATATAAATTTTGATTGTATTTAAGGGAATCTGTTGATTATTGACAATATACTACAGATGCTGAAAATTTGGAAAGAACAAAACTACAGGAGCAAATCTAGCAAATCATGCAGTATCTGTGTGAGTTAACAAGTCAGGCGGATAACCTTTCACTAGAAATTAAGAAAGATGGAAATACATGAGTTTTTGAGCCAGTAGAAGGGGGAGGAGTCAGGAAGGGAAGGTGTCAGAAAGAGCGAAGAAGGGCAGGGTAGAGCCAGGGAGATTGAATACAAAATATTTCATGATGCCAACACAGAAAGAAAATGATCATGGATATGGTAAATAAACAGAGGCTGTGCCCAAAAGAAACTTAAATGGCTACCTGAAACCATTGAAATGTTACAAAGGGATTAAGAAAGAAAGCAGACAAAATCAACCCAGAAAAACAAAAAGAAAACAGTGTTCAAGATAAAGGAGGATTTGTTGAACTCAATAAAAACTGAAAGAACTGTGGATGCTGTAAATCAGAAACAAAAACAGAAGTTGCTGGAAAAGCTCAGCAGGTCTGGCAGCATCTGTGAAGAAAAATAATCAGAGTTAACGTTTTGGGTCCGGTGACCCTTCCTCAGAACTGATGGTAGCTGGGAAAATGTTGTTTTCTATGCAGAAAATAGATAGCGGGATGGGGTAAGGAGTAAACGATAGGATAGAGCCCGAAGAGAGAGAATAACAATTGGATTGAATCTAGAAAGCCTAAGAGTGTGGGTAGAAAGATAAGGTGCTGGGACTCAAGCTTACATTGAGCTTCACAGAGCACTGCAACAGGCCATGGATAGAAGTCCATACTCTGACAATAGTTTCATCTGATCTGAAGTTTTAGTGACAAATTACTGTTTATAGTCAGGGTTAATATTTTATTCCTGTTCTTAGACAGCAGAGGAATCATCAAATTTAGCTTGGAGTTCCGAGGTTGTAGCAAAGGGCATGCGTTCTTGAGCACTATGATCTTTGTAAAGTCAGTTGTGCAAATCTCTGGTACAGAAGATTAGAAGAGTGAAAACAAGAAGGAAAGGCTTTTACCTCTCAGCATTCCAGAAATTTGACTTGCACTCTACCCACTTCGTATTTATTTCTTTTTATGTGATGAACTAGGTATCAATCTTCTTCTTAGCTTACTTAATCTTGGTTTATCTCATATTTTTTCCTACAATTATGGTTTAATTTAAAGTAATTTGTGGATTACTTTTAATTGCTTACCATTTTACAACTATAAAGTCACTTTTAAATACCCTGTTTCTGAGCTTAGAAGTTTTCTACCGTCATAATCAAAACTCAAATCATTCACTCTCGGGACCAGTTGTGTGGCTCTTGCTACACAACTTCCAGGTTTTTAAAATGGCCTGTTGTGTTAGTGACCAGAGCTGGACATAGTTCTCAGAGCCCCTACTTCATATAATTATTTTGTTTTATTTTTCAGCTCCCAGAGTCTAACCTGTGAAGAAGCTGAACAGTATGCAAAAAACGTCCCTACTTATGGGCAGATCCAGCAAAACATAAGCAGGACTGAAGATTCACCTGGAGTGAACTCACCTCCCACTTCACTCCAGTCAAAACATCTGGATGAAAGTCAATCTTCTGTGAAGGCAGAGGTTCTGGTCCATAAAGATTCAGAGACCGATGGGGAAACCTTTTCTAGCTGCAATGACATTACCCTTTCTGCTGGAAAGTGAGCTGCCTTTCCTGTTAATATGTATTTTTCACTTGATTTTGCTTACCTCTCACCAGATCTCTGATAAATGTGTATACAAGTTCCTGAATAGATGGAGTAAACGCTTGAAGATGGACAATTCAGAAAAAAGTATTTTTAACCCCCTTAAGAAAGAAAGCTTCTGCATGCCCACATTTCCCACAACTTAATCGTTCAAAGTCTGTGAAATTTTAGATAATACGATGATGATACTATTTAAAAGGAATAATTTTGTCAAATGTTTGTTGAAGAAACCTATTACAAATTTAAAGTCTGTTTCCAATATCTTCATGGTTCAGAGTCTCAGTCACTACCATAAACAGTATGTGTAGTATGACTTTTCATGTGCATTAACTCATGTTTCCCTATTATCCCTCTGTATGATAGTGTAACGGACTGCATGTTGTAGCACCAGTACTCTGAAACATATAATCCTGTCTTTCACATTTACACATTCAGTTAGCTTCTATTGAGGTTTGCTGCTGCTTTATATAGAAATTGTTAAAATTAACGTTCAATGTTCAGTCCAATAACTTCCTCTCTGTATCCATTTGCAGCAAAGGAAGAGAAGGCACCAAGGCACCTCTTGCCTCATTCAACGAAGACTTCAACACCACAGTCAGCTCATCTTCCTCAAACAACCTGTCTCTTCTCAGGCACAGGTCAGTCCTCCCCTCTTCTTCCAGAAACAAAGGCCAGAGCCAACTATCTCAAAATGAAAAAGTCATTGATGTTGTTTCTCCTGACTGTCCAGCTCAGCGTAACCAGCTAGCTGTCAGTACTTCGGAGAGTGATGACAGAAATATCACAAGTATTGCAATTGCATCACCTTTTAAACTTGTGCAATCAGCGTCCAGGGACAGTCAGGAAAAAGAGGACCAGATTCAAAGTGATATGTTTTATGGCATATGTGATGAAATGAATGGAATAAATCTTTATATTTCTGATGAGTCAGAACAAGAAGAATGCCACTATGATGAAATTTCTGTATAAAATCTGCACCATGTTCAGTATCTTATTTAATAGTTACATACCGAGCGTTTGAAAATCCTTCTGATTGTCCGTGAGTGACACCATTGGTGTTGAATTCTCTTACTAAAAGAAAATCTGCTGACAGGAGGTCAACGACAATTATGAATTTGAATCACAACTTTGTTCTATTAAAAATGTCAATGCAAATTGTAAGTTTCATTCCTTAAAAATTAATCAAACATTTTAGAAAATTCATTCATATAACTTACATTGTGAACTGTCAAAGTTCAGTGTCTTCTCTTTTTTCCTCCATTTTATTAATCTTCGCAGGAGGACCTTGTGAATTTCTTTTTGTATTTTTTGCCATGTTTCCTGGAGCCACCATGTGTCAAGTGGCATTGAGTACCTTCTGGCACCTTTAGCTCCTTCTACATGGATCCAATGGCTTACAAAGTGATTATCCCAGCCTCAGTCAAGATTGTCATTGGGAACCCTCACTTCAAGCTTCAGGGGACTTCTTCCCTGTCATGGTCCTTACTCTGATCCTCTTCTGTTGTTGTGGCATCACCAGAATTCTCTACTGGTGGCTCCTCTTAACAGTCCAATCTCAATCTTGGGAATTTATGCTTGGGCTAGGATGAACAGAAATAGCAAGGCACCGATCTCTGCCCAAAGAGGAAAGTCTAAGCCAAAATGTCACTCTACCATTACCATGCAATTTGTATATTCCTTATCACATTTGGATGATTGCATTAATTGATCACCATCAGATTGAGTGGAAAGTTCCAGTGGAGATAACAGCTGACAGTATCTATACAATATGGAGGCAGGCCATTCGGATAATCAAATCCAAACTGATCCTCCAAAGAGCATCCCAATCAGACCTAGACCCTCACCCCATCCCTATAATCCCATATTTCCCATGGTTAATCCACCTAACCTACACATCCCTGGACACTACGGCAATTGAGCATGGCCAAATCACCTAACGCGCACATCCTTGGACTGTGGGACGAAACCGGAGCACCTGGCAGAAACCCACGCAGACACGGGGAGAACGTGCAAACTCCAGACAGACAGTCACCCAAGGGCGGAATCGAACGCAGGTCCCTGGTGCTGTGAGGCAGCAGTGCTAACCACTGAGCCATCATGCCGCTCAGGAACATGTGAAGTGCATTCGTAGCCAATTTTCTGCCTCACCTAACTCCAGATTTGCTCCTCATCAGATAGAATCCAAATAGGAAACACCAGCTCTTATACATAATCTTTGTGTTCCATTTTTCTGCACATCTACCACTGTACTGCCTCCTCGACTTAATGCATTCTGCTCTTGTAACATAAATAAGTCAGCTTTATACTTATTAAAGAGTTAAGCTTAGAAACATTTACACACCAAGATAACTAATATTTTAAAAAATGCTCTAACCAGGAGATGGTTTTGACATTAAAGAAACTCTTTACATTTTCATGTTTTTTGCTGCTCTCATCATCTCTGTTAGTTGGCTGCAAGGGAACTATTGATGAATGCAAAATTAAATGTAAAAATGTATTATTGACTACAAAACAGAAGTGACAATTTTTCAGTAGAGTCATCTTTTCCTGTGAGCTGGCAACTGAAATTAATTCATCAAGGCTCCTTAGACAGCACCTTCACAACCACTTTCATCTAGAAGGACAAGGGCAGCGGATACATGGAGGACACCAATCCCTGCAAGTTCCCCTCCACGCCACTCAACATCCCTAGTTAGAAGTGTATCACTGTTTCTTCAGTGTCCCTGGGTCCAAATCCTGGACGCCCACCTCAATAGCGTTGAGTTTATCCACAGCTCGTGGGCTGCAGTGGTTCAAGAAGACAGCTCACCACCACTTTCTCAAGGGAAACTAGAGATAGGCAATACATATCGGCCTAACCAGTGACAGCCGTGTTCCATGAACAAATTTTTAATAAGCTATGCAATAATTGGAAACAAAAAGTAAGCACAAGACACATAATGTATTCAATTGGTACTACTGTATTAGTCATCTCAGTCGAGTGCATTTTAACCATTAAACAGGGTTCACTTTTACACAGAGGTTCACTATTTTGCACTACTTTTCTTGTAAGTGTTTAGTCAGTCTTCAGTTGATGGGCAAGTAGGGCATGCAATATTGTGGCCATGATGTCTGAGAAGCACACAAATCCTGATGCACGATTGAATGGAGAAAGATGAATGAGTGCAACAGCAACCAGGTCAAGAAGACGCAGTCATACTGAATCAGACTTTAATGTATGAAGAAATATAAGAGCAACAATAAATAGGAGAGCATAACAGGTTCAAAGAAATGAAATAAAAACTTTGGAGAATATGACATTGCTCAAAATAAAAAGTGTATTCGAAAAGCTTTTACATTATTTACCTACATTTTTTTCTGATGTTTGCTTTGCAGCTAGGGTTTCATGTCTTTGGACTGCTCAGTTATGCTCTAAGGAACCATGGAATTTGTGGAAATTTGTGGGAGATCTGTTCTGCATCTGTAATATAGAAACAGCAATGCAAGAAAATGAACACATACGTATGAAATTACAAAAAAGGACAGGAAAAGAACAAATGGTCCATCCAGCCAGTCTCATTAGCAGTTGGTGAAGTCTCAACCTTGTTCTCTTCATTTAAAAGTTTCCTTAAAAACTACCCTCTTTAACCAGGCTTTTGGTCATTCCAGTTAATATCTCCATTTCTCTATTTGGTGATCAACTTTTGAGTACGCTTCTGTGTTAAATGCATTCTATAAAGGCAAGTATTTATCTTTTTGTTTGGATTTCATGCTGATGCCTGTCCCCTTTCTCCTATGCCTGTCTACCTTAAACAGCTTATACACTGGCAGAATATATCATCCATCATTTATAAAATTTCAATTCGACCCACTTGAAGGCCACATTCATCCAATGGAAAAAGTCCTAGTTCTGGGATAACAAAGAAACATAAAAATGGCAATCCTTCACTTTCCCCTCCTCTAGAGTTTCTGCAGAAGCTCACAATTCATAGTTTGTGAGAGGTCCAAAACTGGGTAAAGCATTCTACATCAAATAGACCAAAGCTTTGTGTAGGGTAAGTATCACTTCTGAAAGCTTTAATTATATATATTATAATATATATATTATGTAGAACTTTCAGCATTGCAAACATCTCAAAGAGGATTAAGTTGTAGTTTGGTTCTGTTGGTAACATTACTGCCTTGAGGGATTGTGAATTTGAACCCCATATTGGAAATTAAACTGTAACCTTAAGCTGTTGGTCAATGCTTAGTAATTGCGACATTGTCAGAGATGCTGCTGTGAAGGCAAGATGTTAAAGTTAGGCTTTGCTGGTCTGTTCATTTTTTAAAAAATTGCAATTTGCATTGGTATCCCGCCCAACATTTCTTGCCTTTGGTATTTAAAAGAGATGGATTGAATAGTCCGATTACACAATCTTGCTGCATGTAAAATGGGTACTGTGTTTGCCTGCAGATCAACAATCTCTGCACATTGAACTGATTCATTCTACATGACTAGATTTGAGACATTTCTGAGACATGATAAGATGTTACATAAATTCTCTTTTTTTCAAACTCATTTTAATTCTTCTGCATGAGGAAAGCAGAACACCCACTGCTGCAAAAAAATGCTGGCAGAAAAAGTATGCGTTAAAATCAAGTAAAATTGTTCCACATAGTTAAGTGTTTACATTTTATATTAAAATTATATCTGGCAATAATCACCAAGTTGTTAATTATAGAATCTGAGAGCACAGAAGGCAGTCATGCCAAAGCAGCTTTTTGAAAATGCTGTCAGACTAATCCTGTTGTACTATTATTCTGCACTTTGTAGCTCTCTAGTGCATTTTCACAAACCTATGCATTTCGCCATGATTGCATGGCCACCCATGATTTCACAATATTCATGCAATTCACCTGCCGCCTCATCCTGCACAAAAGACACAACCACCACTAACAAAGACGAGGGAAAGTTCTTTTACTAGAGTTGGGCTTGTGACATAGTAGAGATTTGTTCATGAGCTCTAGGGAATTTCCACTGTATAACAAATTCAGATGTCTGGCAGAAACGGATATCTCAGTGGAATTTTTATTGGGTTCTGAGTTGTGTGGGCTATGGCGAGATTTCTGGCAAGATAGCTGGAGGGGAGGCAATGGTCTAGTGGTATTATTACTGGAATGTTAATCCGGTGACACAAATAGTTCTAGTGACCTGGGTTCAAATCCCACCATGGCTATTGGTGGAATTTGAATTCATTAGGAAAAATATCTGGAATTAAGAGAGTCCAATGATGACCATGATTCCATTGTTGTTTGTCAGGAAAAACCCATCTGGTTCACTTTAGGGAAGGAAACTGCCATCCTTACCTGGTCTGGCCTACATGTGACTCCAGACCCACAGCAATGTGGTTGACTCTCAAATGCCCTCAGGGCAATTAGGGATGGGCAATAAATGCTGGTCTAGCCAGCGATGCCCATATCCCATGAATTAATAAAGGAAAAGAAAAGCTGGTGAACAGTCTGTTGAAGCCCATTTCAGTGTTGGGAGCATCATGCTGTATCTTCCCTCCATCTGTCAAGTGGTGAGGTAAGTTTCTCGCTAGCCAATGGCGAGTTGTCAATTAAGAGGGATCATTGCCTGTTAAATGCCTTATTTGTGCCACAGCTGGGCCCATTAATTTTTAGATTCCTATCTTATTGAGGAAACTGAACAAGTTGCACATTAAGAATTCTGGGCATGGATGCCACTTGCTCTAAGGCACATCATGCTGGACACTGGGCCTGCAGGTAAATGATGGAGAAATGCCACCATTACAGAGTAGTTATAATGGGGAACGTAATTATCCAAACATAGGCTGGGATACTGGTAGTTGAGGATGGGGGAACGGGGGGCAAAGTATCTCTAGAACATAGAACATAGAACATAGAACATTACAGCGTAGTACAGGCCCTTCGGCCCTCGATGTTGCGTCGACCTGTGAAACCAATCTGAAGCCCATCTAACCTACACTATTCCATTATCATCCATATGTTTATCCAATGACCATTTAAATGCCCTTAAAGTGGGCGAGTCTACTATTTTTGCAGGCAGGGCATTCCACGCCCTTACTACTCTCTGAGTAAAGAACCTACCTCTGACATCTGTCCTATATCTATCACCCCTCAATTTAAAGCTATGTCCCCTCGTGCTAGCTATCACCATCCGAGGAAAAAGGCTCCCACTGTCCACCCTATCTAATCCTCTGATCATCTTGTATGTCTCTATCAAGTCACCTCTTAACCTTCTTCTCTCTAACGAAAACAGCCTCAAAACCCTCAGCCTTTCCTCATAAGACCTTCCCTCCATACCAGGCAACATCCTGGTAAATCTCCTCTGCACCCTTTCCAATGCTTCCACATCCTTCCTATAATGCGGTGACCAGAACTGTACGCAATACTCCAAGTGCGGCCGCACCAGAGTTTTGTACAGCTGCAACATGACCTCATGGCTCCGAAACTCAATCCCTCTACCAATAAAACCTAACATACTGTATGCCTTCTTAACAACGCTATCAACCTGGGTGGCAACTTTCAGTGATCTATGCACATGGACACCGAGATCTTTCTGCTCATCCACACTACCAAGAATCTTACCATTAGCCCAGTACTCTGTATTCCTGTTACTCCTTCCAAAGTGAATCACCTCACACTTTTCCGCATTAAACTCCATTTGCCACCTCTCAGCCCAGCTCTGCAGCTTATCTATGTCCCTCTGTAACCTGCAACATCCTTCCGCACTATCCACAACTCCACCAACTTTGGTGTCATCCGCAAATTTACTAACCCATCCTTCTATGCCCTCATCCAGGTCATTTATAAAAATGACAAACAGCAGTGACCCTAAAACAGATCCTAGATTGTGTTCAGGAGAGTAACGTGTATCCAGGCCAACAAGAAAAGTTGGACCTGATCCATGGAAATGAAGTGGGTCAAGTGGATCAAGTGTTCATGGCAGAATATTTAGGAGACCGTGATCTTTGGTTCAGGATGATGGCGCAGAATGACATGCAACAACCTACAGCAAGAAAATTAATTGGTGGAGAGCTGACTTCAATTGGACAAGAACAAACTGGTTAGGATTGACTGGAACAATAGACCACCTTCAAAGAGCAGGTAGTTCAGGTTTGGTCAATGTATTTTTCCTCAAATGGGAAAGGTAGGACAAACAAATCCAAAATTTCCCAGATGGCAAAGGAACTAGAAATTAACTTCAGAAACGAAAAAGTGTATTTACGAAAGGTGTAGCAGAAAATATATTGAGAACCCACAGGAATGACAAAGGTTTAGAGAGAAAGTGAAAAAGCAAATAAGAGAAGCAAAAAAAAAGAAATTATGATGAAAGAGTAGTGGGTAACATAAGGGGGAATCCCAAAGTCTTCTTTAACCATACAAATAGTAAAAGTGTGGTTAAAGGAGGAATAGGGCCAATTAAAGATCAAAAGGGATTTGCACATCGAATCCCTACAGCATGGAATCAGGCCATTCAGCCCATCATGTTTAAGTGATCCTCTGAAGGGCATCCCAACCAGACCGACTCCCTTACCCTATCTCAGTAATGCTGCATTTCCCATGGCTAATCCACCCAGCCTGCACATCCTACACAATTTAGCATGGCCAATCACCTAACCTGGACATCTTTGGACTGTGGGAGGAAACAGAAGCACCCAGAGGAAACTCTTGCAAACACAGTGAGAATGTGCAAGCTCCACACAGACAGTCACCCGAGGGTGGAATCAAACCTGGGTCCCTGGTGCTGTGAGTCAGCAGCACTAATCACTGAGCCACCATGCACTCCACATGGAGGTAGGAGGCATGGCAGAGGTGTTAAACGAATACTTTACAGCTATCATTTGGTAGGATAAAAGTGAGAGACTCTCAAACAAACTTCACACACAAGTTGTACTTAGCCTAAAAGATTCCGTTCAACAATCTCGAATCTATTAGGTTCATTGAAAGGTCAATTAGGTGCCACCCATTAAGTTATTGATTTTAATACCTTTAAGGGCTCTTGTGGCACAGTGGTAGTATTCCAACCTCTGAGGCAGGAGGCCTAGGATTCACAACTTACCTGTGCCAGAGGTTCAAACAGACTGATTAAAAGAAGTACCAAATTCTCAAACAACTAACTTCAATTGCCTTCCTTTCATTTGTTCATCTGTGAGCTGTTTAACAAATGATGCTGCGAACTGCAGCAAATTTCCTGTGCATGACTTACTCCCCATGGGCTGATCTGACGTCACAAATTAATTAGACAATTAAAATAACTTTAGAACGATACACTCAGTATTTCAGGGATTTTTTCTCGGCTACAATCCAGGCTGTAAATGACATCTAAAGTTTTATCATCAATCTTTGTATTCCTAGCAGTTTATTTTGATGAGGCATTACAATTGCAGTGCAACCATCTGCTGCTCAGAGTTTTTTCACTTATCGGCAAAAGTATAACTTAAATGCTCTGAAGCACTCACAATACAATTACCCTTTCCTGCTCCACAATAAGTTTAAGAATACCAATAAAGGGTCTGAACTGTAAGCAGCCAATCTTCCAGCTGTAGTGGTCCAGACAGGTGACATAAGACATAGAGTCAATGAGATTTTAAAGCAAAGAAGGAAGCCCTTTAGCTCATTACACCCACACTGGTCATCAAACATCCATATATTCCATCCCACTTTCCAGCACTTAGCCCATATCCTTGTATATTTTAAAAACTCTTTCTTAAATAAATTACATTTTTTGTTTCACATGTGCAGAAATCATAAGATAGCTGATCTTCAATCTGCTTGCCCTGATTCATTGAAGGCAGTCACATACTGCAGTGATCTGAGCTTCGATATATTTCACAGTACTTACATCCTTTTTTGTGCGACTGCAATAGGTGTCCAACAAGGCCTTGAGGTTCCAATATGGAGGGACTCAACATAGGGGAAAATCTGCACATTACAGGGATCTTCACTCTGACACAACCAAACATTAGTTCCATCTCACCTCTTCTGTCAGTCCCAAGCTTCTCTTTGTCTGCCTCTTTTTGAGACTGACATTGAAAAATAAACCTTTCCATCTCCTTCTCAATATCTTGACTGGAATCCTGTTCACAGCTCAACTATTAATCAGTTC